ATATCTTTCGGACTGCGCCTTCACTTACATTATACTTGCGACCGATTTTTCTATTAGAAAGCCCCTTCTGACAATCCTGAATTATCAGTTTTCGAATTTGCAAACAAATTTGTTTGGTTTCCATGTTCACTGATGAAGAATTCTTACTATACTCTATCTCTAGCAATATTATTAACTGACAAACCTGCTTTATTCATTTGTTTATATTTCCTTCATTGTTATATTTATGTATCTTTCATCATCAACAGCGCCAGTTATTATTTTCATAAACAATGTTGTGCGTACTTTATTTTGTCCATGATAAATTTGATAATACTAGTAAATGTAACGGATTTGACTATTAAAGGATTTCGAATTGTTTTTGAAATTTTTGTAATCATTATTGCAAAGTAGACTAAAATACCTTTCTTTTACCTCGTTTATCATTATGCTATCTGCCAGGACTGGCGAATTATTTACATAAATGTGAAAATGTTTGGAGTGCGTACTTTATTTTGTCTAGTACTGTATATATATATATATATGTATACAGGATATCCCGAAATTCGAGAACAATATTATTACAGCGAGAAACTTCGTGAAGAATTAAGTCGAAAAGTCCTCTATCATTTTGCAATTTTCGCAATTTTTCAATTAGAAAATGCAGTACTGAAAAGTTAATAAAAAATTCTGAAAAAATTCTTAGAGCTCTATGAGAAGAAAATAAACAATTTTTGTCTCTTGCTGTTTTTAAGTAAAGTTGATAATACTTGAGTAAAAAATTATTTAAAACCAATATTTGGCAATATTTAATAATTAATACCTTGTCTCACACACACGCGCGCACACACACACACACACACACACACATACACACACACACACACACGCACACAACACAACTATTGCGAAAATTGCAAAATGGTACAGGACTTTTCGACTTAATTTTTCACGAAGTTTCACGCTGTAATAATATTATCCTCGAATTTCGGGATACCCTATATATATACCTATATAGTTTTTATGCTATTGTCATCAACCCTTTTACACTTGCACATTTCGATATTTCAAGTATTATAATATTCAATTTCTTATAATTTTTTTATATAATTTTCCACAGCCACAACCATAATATTTAATTTAAGAAATTACTAGAATTATTTTGATTTACAATTTGTATAAATGTTTCGATAATTGTTTATATGAATCATATTATTTTTGTCATAGACAAATATACATTACGTAATTGTACTCTTCGCTATAATTTTTTTCTTATTATTTTCATTCCATCCTATTCTTATTTTTGCTATCAATGAAATTTTCACTTATTTGTTTTTATTTGTGCGTAGAGAAAAAGGTGATATTATAGCCAGTGTAGATGTAATAGACCCTCTTAATATCTCCACTATTGAGTGGCGAATTCAAATGATTATAATATTTATGGAATTATATTTGCTTAGTAGCTCGTCATTGCATCATGACGCTAATAAAATATGCCGATATTATAGTCAACATTTATTATAACGCATTTTTACTTTCAAACATTTTTACGGCATATTTTAGCATTTAATTACACATACTTCCTCATTCTTTTTCAACTGGAACGATTATCACACGAATACGTTTGAGTGTGTTCTTTGTTATTTAACATTTTTTATTAGTCTGTATACATTTCGAGTTATGCCAAATTAAACAATAGTGTGGCATTTTGCTAATGTGGACTCCTAAGCGTGCTGATTGCTGACAGTCTCTTTTTCAAGGTTTTTATATCAAAATAATTACTCCAAATCAATCACTTATACAAAATAAATCGATTATAGCTCTACTATTAATCTATAGTTTTTGTTACATATATATATATATATATATAGGTTTTTTGTACTGAACAGCCTATATGTGGAAAGTGTTCTGTGTACATACAGTGAATGCAACAAGTATTTAGACAAAATATTTTTTAAAAAAACTTTATTTTTAAAAAAATTAAATATTATCCAGCGACAAATTAGTCGAACTGATGTCGAATCGATATTGATATGACACCAATTTGACGTCGATTCGACATTTAATTATTTCTTGTTGAGTAATTAACAATTTATTCATAAAGAATAAAATAGACTATATGTTTCTTAAAATTATATACAGGGTGTTTCCAAATTAAATGGCAAAACTTCGGGAGCGTGTAGAGGAGTAAAAAACTAAGAAAAAAAGTCCTATAGACATATGCTC